TGTGTGATGTTGTAGTGTGTGATGTTGTAGTGTGTGTGATGTTGTAGTGTGTGATGTTGTAGTGTGTGGTGTTGTAGTGTGTGGTGTTGTGGTGTGTAGTGTAGTGTGTGATGTTGTAGTGCGTGGTGTTGTAGTGTGTGGTGTAGTGTGTGATGTTGTAGTGTGTGGTGTTTGTAGTGTGTGGTGTAGTGTGTGATGTTGTAGTGTGTGGTGTAGTGTGTGTGATGTTGTAGTGTGTGGTGTTGTGTGTGTGATGTTGTAGTGTGTGGTGTAGTGTGTGTGATGTTGTAGTGTGTGGTGTTGTAGTGTGTGGGTGTTGTAGTGTGTGATGTTGTAGTGTGTGGTGTTGTAGTGTTTTTGTTGTAGTGTGTGATGTTGTAGTGTGTGATGTTGTAGTGTGTGATGTTGTAGTGTGTGGTGTAGTGTGTGTGGTATTGTAGTGTGTGGTGTTGTAGTGTGTGGTGTTGTAGTGTGTGGTGTTGTTAGTGTGTGGTGTTGTAGTGTGTTCTGTTGTAGTGTGTGATGTTGTAGTGTGTGGTGTAGTGTGTGTGGTATTGTAGTGTGTGGTGTTGTAGTGTGTGGTGTTGTAGTGTGTGGTGTTGTAGTGTGTGATGTTGTAGTGTGTGGTGTAGTGTGTGTTGGTATTGTAGTGTGTGGTGTTGTAGTGTGTGATGTTGTAGTGTGTGGTGTTGTAGTGTGTGATGTTGTAGTGTGTGGTGTTGTAGTGTGTGGTGTTGTAGTGTGTGATGTTGTAGTGTGTGGGTTGTAGTGTGTTCTGTTGTAGTGTGTGGTGTTGTAGTGTGTGTGTTGTAGTGTGTGGTGTAGTGTGTGTTGGTGTTGTAGTGTGTGGTGTTGTAGTGTGTGGTGTTGTAGTGTGTGGTGTTGTAGTGTGTTCTGTTGTAGTGTGTGATGTTGTAGTGTGTGATGTTGTAGTGTGTGATGTTGTAGTGTGTGGTGTAGTGTGTGTGGTGTTGTAGTGTGTGGTGTTGTAGTGTGTGGTGTTGTAGTGTGTTCTGTTGTAGTGTGTTCTGTTGTAGTGTGTGGTGTTGTAGTGTGTGATGTTGTAGTGTGTGGTGTAGTGTGTGTGGTGTTGTAGTGTGTGGTGTTGTAGTGTGTGGTGTTGTAGTGTGTGATGTTGTAGTGTGTTCTGTTGTAGTGTGTGGTGTTGTAGTGTGTGATGTTGTAGTGTGTGGTGTAGTGTGTGTGGTGTTGTAGTGTGTGGTGTTGTAGTGTGTTCTGTTGTAGTGTGTGATGTTGTAGTGTGTGATGTTGTAGTGTGTGGTGTTGTAGTGTGTGATGTTGTAGTGTGTGATGTTGTAGTGTGTGATGTTGTAGTGTGTGATGTTGTAGTGTGTGATGTTGTAGTGTGTGATGTTGTAGTGTGTGATGTTGTAGTGTGTGATGTTGTAGTGTGTGATGTAGTGTGTGATGTTGTAGTGTGTGATGTTGTAGTGTGTGATGTAGTGTGTGATGTTGTAGTGTGTGATGTGTGCCACTGTGATGTAGTGAGTCACTGTTGTATTGTGGTCAGTTTTGTCAACACCTGTGGTTATTGATCTCATAAAATTACCATATATACATAACTTCAATGTTTGTCATTAATTTTCTCGTAATTTGAGGAGTCAGGCTTAATTGTCACCTAATTTTGGTTGCAGGGGTCGATTCATAGCTTCTGGCCCCGCCTCTTGACTGTTCTCAATTAGGTTCCCTCTCTCTCTCTCTCTCTCCTTGCTCCATGAGCTTTATCATACCTCATCTTAAAACTATGTATGGATCTTGCCTCTTCTACGTCACTTTCCAGACTATTCCACTTCCTGACAACTCTATGACTGAAGAAATACTTCCTAACATCCCTTTGACTCATCTGAATCTTCAATTTCCAGTTGTGACCCCTTGTTGCTGTGTCACAACTCTGGAACATCTTATCTCTGTCCACCTTGCCAATTCCTCTCCAGTATTTTATATGTCGTGATCATGTCCCACCTATCCCTCTTGTCTTCCAGTGTTCTCAGGTCGATTTCTCCTCTTAGGACACGCCCCTCAGCCCCGGGACTAGTCTTGTGTGTGTGTGTGTGTGTGTGTGTGTGTGTGTGTGTGTGTGTGTGTGTGTGCGTGGGGTGTGTGTGTGTGTGTGTGTGTGTGTTGTGTGTGTGTGTGTGTGTGTGTGTATGTGTGTGTGTGTGTGTGTACTCACCTATTTGTACTCACCTATTTGTGGTTGCAGGGGTCGAGTCCTAGCTCCTGGCCCCGCCTCTTCACCGGTTGCTACTAGGCCCTCTCTCTCCCCGCTCCATGAGCTTTATCAAACCTCGTCTTAAAACTGTGTATGGTTCCTGCCTCCACTACGTCATTTTCTAGGCTATTCCACTGCCTTACAACTCTATGACTGAAGAAATACTTCCTAATATCTCTCTGACTCATTTGTGTCTTCAACTTCCAATTGTGGCCTCTTGTTTCTGTGTCCCCTCCCTGGAACATCCTGTCTTTGTCCACCCTTGTCTATTCCACGCAGTATTTTATATGTCGTTATCATGTCTCCCCTGACCCTCCTGTCCTCCAGTATCGTCAGTGTGTGTGTGTGTGTGTGTGTGTGTTGTGTGTGTGTGTGTGTGTGTGTGTGTGTGTGTGTGTGTGTGTGTGTGTGTACTCACCTAGTTGAGGTTGCAGGGGTCGAGTCCTAGCTCCGTGCGTGTGTGTGCATGTATATTTCATGCCGAATAGGTGGTGGTGTAGTAGTGCCATCTAGTGGTGGTGTAGTAGTGCCATCTAGTGGTGGTAGTCAGAGTTAGTCAGATTATCAGTGATGGTGTTATGGTGAAGGTCAGGACAGTGACCAACCTCAAGGTTACTTAAGGGCAGTTGAGCTCTAGTGGTCGTACGGAAGGGGCGTGTTGCTCCTCCTCCAGCCGCCCCGCCGGCTTTACCGCTTCCTCATCCTTTTAATACACCTAAATAACGTAAGTATTGTCTGGTGACGTATTTGTCAGTACAACAGCAGAGTTGAGCTGCAGCTCCTGGTCCCCACCACCAGTTTGGTCACCAATTTATAAATATTTTAATCTTAATTTTCTAATGTCTTGGGGGGGGGGGGGGGGATGATTGACCTTAGTGGAGAGGTTTTGATGCGAGGAACTAGAGCTGCTCCTCTTCCTCGGATCAAACAATAATTCTCACGTTACATAACCCATAATAGTGTATCCACTTCTGGGCTATTTTGTTCCATTATTGAAAAATAACTTAGTGAAGGTCTCTTGATCCAAGGAACTTGCGCCTTGTGATCGAGATATAGACTTTAATAACAAACAAATTGTTAGTTATTGTGTTTATATGAAAGAAATATTTATTAAAGAAAAAGATTACTGTTAAACATCAATGTTTATATCAGGCAGTAATGTTACTAGTTTATATTACACGGTAATATTTATATCAGTAATGTTACTAGTTTATATTACACGGTAATGTTTATATCAGTAATGTTACTAGTTTATATTACACGGTAATGTTTATATCAGGCAGTAATGTTACTAGTTTATATTACACGGTAATGTTTATATCAGTAATGTTACTAGTTTATATTACACGGTAATGTTTATATCAGTAATGTTACTAGTTTATATTACATGGTAATGTTTATATCAGTAATGTTAGTTTATATTACACGGTAATGTTTATATCAGTAATGTTACTAGTTTATATTACACGGTAATGTTTATATCAGTAATGTTTATAGTTTATATTACATGGTAATGTTTATATCAGTAATGTTACTAGTTTATATTACACGGTAATGTTTATATCAGTAATGTTACTAGTTTATATTACATGGTAATGTTTATATCAGTAATGTTACTAGTTTATATTACACGGTAATGTTTATATCAGTAATGTTACTAGTTTATATTACATGGTAATGTTTATATCAGGCAGTAATGTTACTAGTTTATATTACATGGTAATGTTTATATCAGTAATGTACTAGTTTATATTACACGGTAATGTTTATATCAGTAATGTTACTAGTTTATATTACACGGTAATGTTTATATCAGTCAGTAATGTTACTAGTTTATATTACACGGTAATGTTTATATCAGTAATGTTACTAGTTTATATTACATGGTAATGTTTATATCAGTAATGTTACTAGTTTATATTACACGGTAATGTTTATATCAGTAATGTTACTAGTTTATATTACATGGTAATGTTTATATCAGTAATGTTACTAGTTTTTTATTACACGGTAATGTTTATATCAGTAATGTTACTAGTTTATATTACATGGTAATGTTTATATCAGTAATGTTACTAGTTTATATTACACGGTAATGTTTATATCAGTAATGTTACTAGTTTATATTACATGGTAATGTTTATATCAGTAATGTTACTAGTTTATATTACACGGTAATGTTTATATCAGTCAGTAATGTTACTAGTTTATATTACACGGTAATGTTTATATCAGTAATGTTACTAGTTTATATTACACGGTAATGTTTATATCAGTCAGTAATGTTAAAAGTTTATATTACACGGTAATGTTTATATCAGTCAGTAATGTTAGTTTATATTACACGGTAATGTTTATATCAGTAATGTTACTAGTTTATATTACATGGTAATGTTTATATCAGTAATGTTACTAGTTTATATTACACGGTAATGTTTATATCAGTCAGTAATGTTACTAGTTTATATTACATGGTAATGTTTATATCAGTAATGTTACTAGTTTATATTACACGGTAATGTTTATATCAGTAATGTTACTAGTTTATATTACACGGTAATGTTTATATCAGACAGTAATGTTACTAGTTTATATTACACGGTAATGTTTATATCAGGCAGTAATGTTACTAGTTTATATTACACGGTAATGTTTATATCAGTCAGTAATGTTACTAGTTTATATTACACGGTAATGTTTATATTAATGTTACTAGTTTATATTACACGGTAATGTTCATGGTTATAATGTGAATGTTTTGTTTCAGGTAACTGAGGAGTGCTGTGCCTGGCTGTGTCTGCTGCAACATTGATCAACACAGCAACATTGATCAACACAGCAACATTGATCAACACAGCAACATTGATCAACACAGCAACATTGATCAGTCTGAGGGGTGGAGACACTAGTAAATAATCTGACCCGTAACACTTAGTGTTATATGGAGATGCAGCAGCTGGAGACGTAGTCAAAGATGGGCGGGGCCCACTTATAAGGTATTTCCAGGTTATAAGTCCACTGAAGTTTGATTATTGAAGTTAATAATTGTATTAAGTAGGAAGGTGATGGGAAGAGTATAGGAAAGATTGTAAGTAATTGATATCAAGAGTAGCTTAGTGGGAAGTATTAGTTTATATCTCGACCAGAGATGAAATCTCTGGCCAGGAAATAATGAGGAATGTATTCTGTAGGTTACCTTGAATGGGGTGGAAATAAAAATTAGATAAATGGGTTGTAAAGCTTAGAATTGAAGATTGATCAGATTTTAGGAAGTTTTAGTTAATATCTTTATCAGGCAGTCTATACCCATCCTGCAAGATTGTAGGAAGCAGAGATGAAATGTGTAAGTGATGTATCGTGGCTCAGTTGGTAGTTGTATCAACTGAAGTACAGAGATTCGATCCCGGACACAAGTGGGCATGTTCCCTTATATCCATTGGCACTGTTCACATAAAGGAGGAACACTGCAGCAGGCTTACTGGTAGGGGTCGCATCCTGGGGGAGTAAATACCCAAAATATAGATGTCATAGTGACTTGATTGTGTAATTCTGTGTTAATCTACCGGGTTAATAATTATACTGAGATAGTTTAGTGTGGAGAGAGTAATGGTAGAGGTCTTGATGCCGGCTGTAAGAAAAGACTACTTAATCAGACATATCCATTATTAAGACATAAGAAAGGAGCACTGAAGCAGGCCTATTGACCCATGCTAGGCAGGTCCATCTCTCAACCACTCATTTGTCTAACCTATTTTTACAACTACACAGCCAGAGTTTTAGCTTCACATGGCGGGATAAATTTTCCTTAGGCAGAATATATTATAGCCGGAAAAATCGATAACGGTTACTCAGAAATGTGGAATTAACCACATCTTCCTATTTTCAGTAGTGTTGTAGAGGGCCTGGCCAAGTAAGTTTAGGCTTTGAAGTCCCTTGTGGGTTTAGCGCTCAACGACTCCAGAGTCTGTATTAGAGCGTCTTGGGGGGGGGGCATTTGTTTTAAAATTGGGTTATACACTATATATTTAGACTTTGTAGACCCCCTTGATCCTACCTAGAGTCCCTTGATCCTACCTAGACCCCTTTGATCCTACCTAGACCCCTTTGATCCTACCTAGACCCCCTTGATCCTACCTAGACCCCCTTGATCCTACATAGACCCCCTGATCTTACCCAGACCCACCTTGATCTTACCTATACGCCCTTGATCTTACCCAGACCCCCCTTGATCTTACCCAGACCACCCTTGATCCTACCTAGGCCCCCTTGATCCTACCTAGACCCCCTTGATCCTACCTAGACCCCTGATCTTACCTATACCCCCCTTTATCTTACCCAGACCACCCTTGATCTTAACTAGACCTCCTTGATCCTACCTAGACCTCCTTGATCCTACCTAGACCCCCCTGATTCTTACCCAGACCCCCCTTGATCCTACCTAGACCCCCTGATCTTACCTAGACCCCCTTGATCCTACCTAGACCCTGATCTTACCCAGACCCCACCTTGATCTTACTATACGCCCTTGATCTTACCCAGACCCCCTTGATATTACCCAGACCCCCCTTGATCCTACATAGACCCCTGATTTTATCCAGACCCCCCTTGATTTTACCTAGACCCCCTTGATCCTACCTAGACCCCCCTTTATCCTACCTAGACCCCCTGATATTACCCAGACCCCCCTTGATCTTACCCAGACCCCTTTGATCTTACGTAGACTCCCTTGATCCTACCTAAAACCCCCTTTATCTTACCTAGACCCCTTTGATCTTACCCAGACCCTCGTGATCTTACCTAGACCCCTTGATCCTACCTAGACCCAACTTGACCTCACTAGACCCTTGATCTTACCTAGACCCCCCTTGATCTTACCTAGACCCCCTTGATCTTACCTAGACCCCCCTTGAGCTTACCTAGACCCTCCTTGATCTTAGCTAGACCCTCCGTGATCTTACCTAGACCCCCCTTGATCTTACCTAGACCCTCCTTGATCTTACCTAGACCCCCCTTGATCTTACCTAGACCCTCCTTGATCTTAGACCCTCCGTGATCTTACCTAGACCCCCCTTGATCTTACCTAGACCCCCCTTGATCTTACCTAGACCCTCCTTGATCTTAGCTAGACCCTCCGTGATCTTACCTAGACCCTCCTTGATCTTAGCTAGACCCCCTTGATCTTACCTAGACCCCCCTTGCTCTTACCCAGACCCTCCTTGATCTTACCTAGACCCTCCTTGATCTTACCTAGACCCTCCTTGATCTTACCTAGACCCCCTTGATCTTACCTAGACCCTCCTTGATCTTACCTAGACCCTCCTTGATCTTAGCTAGACCCCCCTTGATCTTACCTAGACCCTCCTTGATCTTAGCTAGACCCCCTTGATCTTACCTAGACCCTCCTTGATCTTAGCTAGACCCTCCGTGATCTTACCTAGACCCCCCTTGATCTTACCTAGACCCTCCTTGATCTTAGCTAGACCCCCCTTGATCTTACCTAGACCCTCCTTGATCTTACCTAGACCCTCCTTGATCTTAGCTAGACCCTCCGTGATCTTACCTAGACCCCCCTTGATCTTACCTAGACCCTCCTTGATCTTACCTAGACCCTCCTTGATCTTACCTAGACCCTCCTTGATCTTACCTAGACCCCCCTTGATCTTACCTAGACCCTCCTTGATCTTACCTAGACCCTCCTTGATCTTAGACCCTCCGTGATCTTACCTAGACCCCCCCTTGATCTTACCTAGACCCCCCTTGATCTTACCTAGACCCCCCTTGATCTTACCTAGACCCTCCTTGATCTTAGCTAGACCCTCCGTGATCTTAGCTAGACCCTCCTTGATCTTACCTAGACCCCCCTTGCTCTTACCCAGACCCTCCTTGATCTTACCTTTACCTCTCTTCATTTCCCCTTGCGCCGCCGCTGCTCTGTAAATTACTGAGACCTGGAGTATACTGCAAAGTTGTGGTGTACATATATAACATTTTGTAGGTCTACAATTTAGTTTCTATCAAAATAGCTTACAGAATTAGGTGGTGTTAAGTAGGATAGGTAAGGTATATAACTGGAGCATCTGCTATATGCATTATGAATGCATATAGCAGGGGAGAGTAATCTCCCCTGAAGACATAGATTACGTAGAACTGTTGGCCTGGGAACCCACCAACGACCTTCAGTAGCTGTCTGCAATCTGTTATTGCACGTGGTTTCCGTGGGGATGTTGGTGGGTTCCGGGCTTTGGGTAGTGGTTGTGGTGGGTGTTCTACGTATTTTATGTCTTTGGCAAGTCTAGTGTTGCTTTGTTCACCAAGTTCACAAAACTGACACTTGGGGAGGAAACTTTAGACGTTTCGGTATAACCTGGGTTGTTTTGAGACTTTTTTCGACTGTACCTGACCTTAGTTTTGATATCTTTTTACTGGACCCGATTTATCTAACTTATTATGTTTTGACATAAATGGTGTACAATACTAGGTTGGTTTCTAGAAGACGTTGTGACAGGTATCATTATTCATGAAATGTTTCGTTTGGGGGTAGACTTTATTTGTCGACTACAAAGGTGACAGCAGTCTTGGAGACTAAATTGGAGAGTTAATTTTGAGCTCTACCCTCTAAACTTGATAAAAGATGGTCAGTCTCTTAGCCAGACTTTTTATTTACTTCTAATTTCTTACCTAACACTGGGAAATAGGAACATGGGAGTATTTTTCATGTCTGTTGTAAGTTCCTGTTGAACTTTGTTATTAAAGGATAACTTGTCGCAGTTTCCCCACTGTTTTTTGTACTGACACTATTTCAGCTACGAATATTGTTACTATTAATGTTCCTAGTACCTCCACTACTACCAGTACTTACTGCTAGACTGACTACCAGCACTTCTATTATTGCCAGTACTATTACTACCACTATCAGCATTATCACTACCACCATTGGTATTAATACAAATCTTACCAGTACTATCTATACTACTGTTGTTATTACTACTGCTTTTACTGCTACTGTCTGTACCACTACTACTGTTTTTTGAAACTTGGTCGCCTGACGTCCTTTGTAATTTCACCCCCCTCCCCATTCCATGGTTTTTGCGACCTGTCTTGAGGTCTATTATACTTTTTGACCCTTGGTCTGACTTGATCGTCTCGAATTACTTCTTCTCCTTGTTGGTTTCCGTAAGTGCAAGTAGTTTTATATATTTAGGTAGTTTAGAATATAACTGGATAATCTGCTATATGCATTATGAATGCATATAGCAGGGGAGAGTAATCTCCCCTGAAGGCATAGATTACGTAGAACTGTTGGCCTGGGAACCCACCAACGACCTTCAGTAGCTGTGTGCAATCTGTTATTGCACGTGGTTTCCGTGGGGATGTTGGTGGGTTTCGGGCTTTGGGTAGTGGTTGTGGTGGGTGTTCTACGTTTTTTATGCCTTTGGCCAAGCTGTGCAGAGTTAAATATTGATTTATTGAGTTTACACACTTTCATCATTTCGGAAAATCTAAGAAGCGTTCAGGTTCCTATGAATATAAAGTATTAGCGTTCAGAATTTCAGTTGGTTTGATAGTTTGTGTAACACTTCTGGCAGCAGTACGTTAATAAAGAAAATGCAAACTTCACTTCAGATCAGTGTTAGTGAATCCTTTCTGCCCACTAACATCTGATGAGCATAGTTACGGGGTGGTTTAGATTGGTATTAGTGGGAATAGGATTACTAACCCTGCTGGGTTAGAAACCCAGAAAAATAGAGAAAGTGGGGCTTGAATGTAGTGGTCTTCAGGTTGTGCCTAGGATGCCAGCCATGGCTGGCAGGTAAGGTAGGTTATGAATTCAGGCTAGCATATTAGTGTGTTAGGAAATTGGTATACGGCAGACCTGCAACTGGTTAGATAACCCATAGTGTTGATTGTTAGCACACTAAGCTATGAGGGACTTGGAAGTGTAGGGGAAATGCAATGTTGTCTTAATGATCCTAACTACCTTCCTGTTAAATTTGAA